AAATTAAAAGAACTTTTCATCGATACGAAATAAGTGACAACAGAAGAATTCAAAAAGTTAATGAGGTAGTATGAAATTTGAACAGAAGTGTATTCTCTCTCTCTGTGAATTTAGTAGTTTATTTCCCTTGTAAACTCCATTTTTTTCCTACTTGATTTATTAAATATTCATTGTTATTTTTAAAACATGGCCTCGTTCTTGACTGAATCAAAAAGAATCTTTTTCATAAACTAAATGCAGTTCCTATTTTAAACAAGTACAAGTATTCACATGATAGCGTGCGTAATTGACTATCTGGTGTCAACATCCTGACATGGACTTTACAGTCTATATCCTTATTTACTTTAAAGCCCTCCTTGAAAATTTAGAGATTGAATCTTGCGATTTTGTGCTGATTAAGCGGTACTCCAGTTTGTACCCCTGGCTTATCTCACAATAATAATAATTCAAAATTTTATACTCTGTGATTTCTATACATTTTAATTAAATAAATAATTCTGTAATTAATTAATTAATAACTAGTATAATTAAAGGAAACTTTTCTATGTAATTTTTTGTAAAAAAATTTAGATGACCTATGAAATATTTATGGGAGCTTTTTACAAAAATTATATTTATTCAACTATTTATTGAATAGATATATATCACTTATTCGTTTAATATATATAATAATTTAATATATATTTGTAATCATAAGCAAATGTATCTATTAAGTTAGAATTTGATTCTCAATTGTCTTAAATTATGTGATATGTAGAAATTAATTTTGAATACACAAATTTATGTTTTTGAAAGATTTCTCTCAATTTCTAAAGATTTCTTTCCATTCTAATATTAAATATAAGTGCTGATGTTTAATTTTAGAAATTTGTACTTAATGTGAGGTTCCAGATGAGGTTCAAAATCAAATTAATTATACGCTATAAGAGGAAAGGGGAAGTTACTGTTAAATTGGAACAAAGGTTGTCTGTTATGAGAGAGAGAGAGAACTGTAGTTGTCAAAATAAATGCAATGCAGTGATAAATGACGTAGATTATAGTGTCAACCCAGAGAGATGGAACTTTGACAGAACAGTCATATACAAGTGGTCTAAGTTAGAAAATTGGAAAAGAAGGGAAAGGTTGATGGTCAAAGGACATCATGTTCTATTGTTGAAATTCTAAAATATCAGAGAAAAGATAATAATGGAGTAAGATATGAGTGCAGATTTCATAGTTTCATCAACAATCTCTCGGTCAGAGTCGATGAGTGGTATCAAGTAAACTCTCTGAAGTGGACCTTTTTTTGCAACCCAAACAGATCTCAGTTTTCACCTGGAGACAGGTGAGCGACCAATTGGGAAGTGAGATGAAGGATGCAAGGCCAATCAAAAAGGCAGATGGAGAGAGAGAAAACTATAAAACCCCAAAATCCAAGGTAAAAGTGCAGTTTTTGCCAATTGTGTCCTGTACTAAATCTGTGCCACTCGGAAGACTGACATTGCAATCAATTTGGATAACATCTGGATAGCATCGGAGCCATCACAAACAACTACCTGAAGCTCCCACACTTCCAGTTGGACTCTACAATGCTACTGCCCTGGGGCCATCGTCTGCCGTCCACCTGGTGATCACTATCTGCAGTCAAGTGACACTTTAAATTACTGGTCCACATCTAGCCACACAACCTCAAAGTCAAACTGTTCATTTATTAATATTGTGTAAGTTACTTTTGAATCACAATAAAATGGTTTTGTATAAGGACATGTGTCATCTCTACCTCCAATTCCACTACCCACATGCAAACACACTGTAGACCATTACTGATGCAGGATTAACTGATCTCCCCCTGAAAGTTGGCAAACTCACAGTGGTGTCAGAGAAGGGAATTTTAAGTTCCCTATCTCCACCAACATTGGCAAACTCACATTAATTTTAGTATCATAACTGTAAGAAATTAATGATATCAAGATCTATGGCTAATTTTTTGAACAAAAAATTTAAATAATAATAAAAATATACAATAAATGTTTTTGAGAAAGCTAGAAATTCCTAGAGTCAACAAAATTGAAGTATTGTATATTCTTTCTAATGAAATATATTTTGATTAGTGAATAATTTAGAATATAAGGTTTGAATGTTAAAAAAATTTAGAAAAAGTTTGAAAATTAAAAAGAAAATTTCAAATAAAATTTCAAATACAGAAGTTTTACTTAAATTATTTACAATATAAATGTCATTTTCTTTTTAATAAAAAAATTTGTGAACTGCAGAGGAGGTAAGGTTCAGTTGCACCTCTCTGTATGGACAACAGGTTGTTAAACCTGCTCACTGTCAGGATGGCTTACTTTACGATAATGGTCCCTAGAGTTGGGACTCTCAAATGTCAGTCGAGTGGAGGGAGAGTATTTGGGGTCGACGATAAGGTGAAGGCCGTATACGAGTAAAGGAGTCTACCATTTTAACAAGTATAACAAGGATTTATTAAAATAATCAAAATCAACAAAACTACTACACAAATCTCGACATTAAACCGTCTAACAGCTTGAGAGAGAGTTTACACGCTTTTTCATACTTCTTTGTAGGTTTCCTTGAGGATTAAGTTCATGTAGGCACAGAAGTATCCCATAAAAGGTGTCTTTGATCCAAATGAGCACAAATATAAAAGTTTGTGACTCTGGCGACGAATGGATATCGATGTTGGAGGACCGAAATAGTGATGGGTTCGTAGATTCGACTCAATGTCGTCGGTCCTGTTTTCGATAAGAGACTCCCCCGAGAGGGGGTAAGAATGGTCTTTTATAGCTTTTTGTGGGGAATTTCCATCACTTGATCGGATGGTCTATGAGCTAAAGGTTATAGGTGTTCCAGGGACCTAAACAAGTGATGAATTTTGGATGCTAACTATTAACTTTTGTGCAAGTTGAGCTGCAAGTTATGTGAGAACAATAGAATGTTGATGGTTATGACAGGAAGGTTTACACATTCCCAGCTAAGATCGTTTTTTCTTCCAATTCATTACATAAACATAAGGGATAAGATAATTAAAATTTTAGTTAATAAAATTCCGGATCTCACAAATTATAAATTTTTGTTCACTTTATTTGGTGAATGTCATTTTTGTAGAGAAGAATTTCGTATAGGTATTTCACTTTAGGTTGGCCAGTCAGTGGAAATGTTATGTAATTTCTTATCCAATTTTAATTTGGATTACTAGAAACTTGATTTATTGGAGTTCACATTACTGAAAGTGTCTTTATTATATTACATTATAAATCAATGAATATAATATGAATATTATTGACACAAAATATTATTACTACACATTTTCTTTCATACTTTTTCTATAATGGAGGAGGAGATATTGTGAAAATTGATGTATTATGATGATAGGAATTTTCAAGTTATATTTACCAATAATGTAAGATTGAAAAGTTTTGCAAGAATACAATTCTGATGCAACTGTTATTATAACAACATATTTGCTGTATGTTATTAGTTTGCATTTATGTTGATATTTGAATTATATTTTAGAAATTTTGTATTAATAGATACATAATTGAAAATATTTGGTTTAAATTTATATGCTCTTAAAAGATTACTTAAATAGGACTAAATGAAACTGAAATTAAATAGATAAAATTAATCATAACACAATGACATAAACTTTTAAAATAGGAAACCAAAAATATCTTATTTAAAAAAAATCTATTTGTTTAAAATATAGCAAATAGTTGCTTACTAGGGACACTATGAGTTTTGTCATATTGTTATAGAATTGAGATGGCATGTTGCCTTAGTTCCCTTTCTCCATTAACCCTTGTAACTTTCATGCAATTCTATCTTTCACTCAATTTAACCCAAGCACTGACATGTTTGAATGTGTAAAAAAGGTATGAGTGTATGTATGGGATGTGTGTGTGAAAGTGAGAGAATGTATATGTGTGTGTGATCACAAAAAAAAACACTTTTGACCACACAAGGAGGCAATCTTTACAATTGTCAGTTACAGAGAGTCAATCCTTGCATTTGCTGGAAAGAAAGAGGTGATTTTTGTACCTACTGAGCATGGAAGAAGTGATCCTTGTACTGGCTGCCAAAGGGAGATAATCTTTAAACTTGCTAACACATAGAGATGATCCTTACACTTGCCTTCACTTGACAGAGAAGTAATCCTTACATTCACTCAGTATCACTTGCTTTGTTTTTGTGTTTTATTTATTTATAATTTTTTTGGTGTTCATTTTCCATTAGACATGCACAATGTTGTTTTTTTTTTATTTTTTGCTCCCTAAATTTTGTTAGGCACACTCAATCATGTCGGCAAGTGTGGACATTGTCACTTTGACACCACTATATCTTGAAAATGAAGTCATGGACCCTCACTTTTTATTACAGTTTTGATTCCTCATTGCAGTTAATGGAAAATGGCAAGGTTTTATCAAAATTAACCAATCAAATTTTGAGAACAAACTCAATTCTATAAGCCGCACAGAAAAGGCTTTGCTAATGCTCCATCTCAAAATAGTTTTGAAGATTAGCTTGATCTGTTATAAAAATGATTGAACTGAAATTGAAGTTATTACTCTGAAAAAGGTTTTTCATATGATAGTAGACTTATAAAAAGGAGATTGTTCAATATTTTTAATAATTTATGAATTAAGAAAATTCTTAACTTTGCAGCTTAAGATTATTAATATTGCTAATTTACAATTTATAGGTAAGCTAGTTTTTTAAATGGTACATTAACACAACCACTCATTTATTCATTAATTAATAAGAAAGGATTTTTCAAACAGATATAAAATATCATCATTATTTATTCTGTAATAAAGTAAATATTTTAAAAGTAGAAATGAAAATAAATATTAAAGTATATATTTTTTGCTTCCAAAATTGCTTTTCATCTAGTTTAAATTTAAATTTACATTTTATAACTTGAATTTTTTAGTTCAAAAATATAAACCATTGATTTAAAACTGATTCAGTTTTCATGAATTTTAATGTTTCTTATTTTTCAGTGAAATGAATATTTCTAAATGGTTAAATGCTCACTATGATCCCTTGGCTACTTTATATACATTTTCATCATGCATGTGTCTTGTTGATCTTCAAGGAGATGGAGATTATAAATTGATAATTGCTGATCTTGGAACAGGCTCATATAATATGAAGCTTAAAGTATATAAAGGTTATCCGTAAATATTTTATTTCTTTGAAAGCACTTCATCACATTATATTTTAATTTAAATATTTTTACTTATTAAAAGAAATTTTAATTTTTTAATATTTCTTCATTTTTCTGTTAATATCATGCAGGAACAAATTTATTATCAGAACATACTATTATCGATATTCCAACAGGAGTTGTTGCATTTCATATGAATACAGGTGACACAAAAGCTCCAGGTATGTTTTGATTATTTTTCTTAAATCTAGTGATGTACTTGTTGTTTTTGAAGTGAAATATTCTTAATAAACAATATAGTAACATATATCATAAAAGTTTTATTGATTGTAAATCTTGATACATTAAAAATTTTGATATTATAAGATATACAGGTCCCTTGTAAGAATCCCTTGTATAACACGGCATTCTTATACATGGTTTCACTTTAACAGAGCTTGTTACACACTGTTCTTACAACATGGTTTGAGAATTGGAGTCATCCCTACACAAAACATCACAGTTTTTAAGTGCAAACACTCATTTTTTTTTTTAATTCAAGCAAGCATGTGTGTTGTCTTATATATGCCTATGGATTTTAGAATATTGAAATTTTCAGTGCTGTTTTGTGCCTTTCACTCAATTTTCTATAATGAGAACTGATTGTACAATTTTTCTTCTTCATCCTAGCTTCTTATTCTAGCTTTCCTATAAACCAGATGTCACTCTCATTGGTGATAGTGTTATAAATGAACCAAAAAGATGGTTGACATGTTATGTTTTTTATATTAAATTAAAAGTTACTACGTAAAAAAATTAAATTATTAAAATCTCTTAGGCAAACTCAAGTAAATGAAAAAATCAGATTTTATGAAAAAGTAGAGAAAAATGAAGATGTTGATAATTCAAGTTAAGGTCTACAGAAAAGTTCAGAAGTTTATGACATTTTGCCAAAAAGAAAACAGCACCAGTGGCCAAGTGAATAAAAACCACTGAACACTGGTAGTTGATTGTGGGTTTGTGCCTTGCCAATGGGTTGACCATATGGAGTTTTCTTCACATTTGTAATACCTAAATAGGAACTAGTTTCCCTTAGAAAGTTCTCCAAGGCATTTCCCCTTCAGCAGATTATCTGTAAGTCACATTGTCATATACAAGTAAAACCAAATCCAAAAGAAAACATCTCATTTAACAGTGTTTAGCAGTGAATAAAAAATTAATATTAATATGCAATACTTTTGATTGTAATTGTTTATTAGTTAGCAATTGCTTTAATAAACATATTTCTCTTAATTATGTAAAAGAATAATATACTTTTGCTGACTTTTGGAACCTAACCTTATGTTTTGTACTAGTCTATTGTTTGTATAGCCCAGATTCTCATAACAGCACTTTTTCAGAATCTAATTAGTTAACACTAATTAGATTCTGAAATTAATTATATTTATTTTTTTTACAAAACATCTTATTTTTACATGTAGATTGCTAAAATGAACTAATAACTCATCATTAAAAAAATATTTGTTTATGGATTATATACAGATTTATTTTATTTTAAATTCCAATGAGATCTAACTTATAAATGCAAGTTTCAATAGAAATATTTAAAGGTCACTTCATAAAATAAAGGCACTTAGTTTTACACAAAAAATATTAACATTAATTTAAATATTCTGCTTTTATCTTTCAGGTAAAATTTATTTATTTGTTATAAGCAAAATGTATCAATAATTTACTTTTTGTTTATTTTGATGATAATATAAAAGTTTTGTAATTAAATTATAAAAATTTCTTACAAATCAAAATTGAAAAACATTATACTCTTGCTATACAATTGTTTCAATATGTACTATAATCAAATCACTTTGTGTTAGATTCTGCATAATGAAATAAGTTTACCATATACTAAATATTCTCTTTACAATGATCAGTGATTGTTGAGCTGCAATTTGAAAAAACTGTAGACCTATAAATTTCCACTGTCATCTGTCTATCTGTTCATCTGTCTGTCCTTCGTTAATCTGACTTTCTACATTTAACAGTATTAGAAACAGAAAGTCAGATTAAGGAAGGACAGACACTGTTAGATACAGGAAAGTCAAGACCAGATTTAGAAAGTTTAGGGGTAGAAGGCCCCACTTAAGTATATATGAACTTCTAATGCAAACTGGAAGTTATTTCAATTCAAAACTTTCCCCTGAAAGCAGTTAGATAGATGACTAGCATGACTCCATTGCTAACAGAAAAGTATGATGTACTGTACAATACAGGGACAAGATACTAATTTGAGATGGAGAGCATTGTGCTCAGCATTGTGACAATGTCACAATAAATAATTGCTTGTTACCAATTAGATTACATGGGTGATAGATGGGGCTGTTTTTAACCAAAATGCACTGTACCAACAAATAGTATAAAAAGTATTGATACCTGGTACTATATATTGGTAGTTGCTCATTAAAAACATTTGTGTGTGTTCAGTTACCATATATGTATACCAGTAGTAACTTTTTTTTAAAAGAAAAGCACTGGTGATATGTAAGCTAATCAGCAATGCAAACAATTTGTTAATCTGCATTTATTATTTTAAATATTTTGGCATAAAAAGCAAAAATTAAAAAATAATTTCATTACTATTTTTTTATTTTTTTAACTTAAGCTCTCTCTATTTGCTTAGTACTCTATATTAATGTAATACTTCCACTGCAAAAACATCTTTTAGAGAGAGAAACAGCTGTGTTATGTGATGAACACTTCAAACTTCTGAAGTCTCAGAATGAATTATCAAAAACATTGTATTACTGAGTTTACATCTTTATATTTTCATAATATAGTGGTGTCTCTGGAACAGATTAATATCATAAAGTACAGATGAACTGTACTTTATTATATTAATTTGTCATAGACTTATTATTTTACAATATTTATGTATAATTTTTCACTAAATACATTCTTATGATAAAACTAAAAAATACTGTTCAACTCTTTACTAACACCGGAAGTATACTACACTTACAATCAAAAATCAAACCTGTTACTGGAGTGTATCCTATAAAAGATCGTCCCACAAACGTTTTCGAACTTTATGAAGGTCTTCTTCCGGTGGAAATGGAATACTTGAGAAAAATAGAACAGGAGATTTCAAATCAAAAAGTTTGCTTAATTCCGCTCTAATGGACATGCACTGTTGTGCATGGGTGTCAATTATTATGGATACTTGTCTAGGAAGAGTTGCCAGGTTGGTGATAGGTTAACTTCTGGTGGCATTAAGAACAAAACTTCAACTAACCAGCAAATGGATGAAAAGAAACAATATTGTTCTCACCAGAGCTGATAAATCGAAATCCTTAGTCATTATGAAAAGGGGCACCTACCAAATAGGACTAAGAGACTACATCAATGTCACACAGTGTGATAAAGAAAATGGAGACTTTGTGGATAAGCTGCGGAATAGAATGAAATGCTTTGCAAACTCAAAATTAGCGAAACATCTGGCCTTACAAGACATAATAGTTGACTCTCCCGACACTCCTAAGATCTCTGCATATGCTAAAACTCATAAACCAGGCTAGCAACTCTGTCCAATAGTTGACAAAGCAAGAGCACCTACAAGGAAACTAGAAAAGGCCATCCATCGCCTCCTTTCACCAAGCTTAGAGGATTATCCTTACACCATTGAAAACCCAGAAAACCTCATATGCCTGCTGAAAGATCTCCCAGAGTCTCCAAAGCTCATCACAGTCCTAGATTTCAAATCACTATACCCCTCAGTAAAGCTCCCAGCTGCCTTTTGCTCCCTCAAGGATTTCTTATTGGATTATACTCATGATCAAGCACAGCACCACCATATACTCGAAATGGTCCATCTTATTTGTTATAACTCAATCTTTACCTTTGAAGGCAAGGTTTATAAGCAAAAAAGAGACATCCCCAAAGAAGCCAAAAGAGCAAAAAAGAGCCCAGTGTCAGGAGACCTCTGCGAGTTAGTCATCTGGCAAATGGAAAATAAAATCATCCCTAGGTTTCTGCTCTATAGAAGATACATAGACGATATACAGTGAAAACTGCTTAGGCGACCACCTGCATTTGACGACCACCTGTCAAAACAGGCAAAAATTTCTGTCACCAAATAGTTTATCCATAGGGTCTTGGTATAAGTTACCTGTATTAAACAACCACCTGTATAACATAACCGCAGGCATCGATTTTTGATCTGAAACAACATACAACAACTGTAATAAATGACCACTTCTGCAAATATATCTGGTCTAAACTATTGTTCAACAATGTTCTCCCTCCTAACATAATTAATTAGACTAAACTCTCGTTCAAACTTACCTCAGGCACTTCTCCCACCCTTGAAATTAGGTGCAGGTGTTAATGAATTAGTCTAGCAACAAAGAAAATTCATTTCAGTTTGTTCGAAATTGTCCAAAACACGAAAGAAATGCAAAGTGCTGTCATTAGAAGATCGTGTTAAAGTTATCACAACAGCAATTAGCGGTGAAGTTTAACTGTGGGAAAACGAAATTTATTTTACCGTAGACCAACAGTATTTTTCTTGGGGGTGTAAAATATTGTACGCAATACAATTAATCAGCTGATCTCATCGTTTGATAAAATTTATTTTTATTTATTTATTTATTTATTTGAAGCTCATATACAGTACATGTGTGATAAATAGTTTCTGTATTTCTGTATTAATAGTTTCTGTATTACCTTATTTCCATGATATTTTTAGAAAAATAATATCCAAATAATTTTCACATGCAAAATATTCAAAAAACAATAAATGCATTAATGTAAAAATCAGTTTTACAGGCAACCTTCCTTTTTTGATTCCGCAATAACAATTGCGGAATGTAATGAAATTGTATAATGAGAAAAAATAATAAAATTGTTTTATTATTAATTAATAATTTTTCTTATTGTACTTAAGAAAATATTAAATATTAAAAAATACAGTGTTTTTAGTTAAAATAAGATTACACTAACGAATATCAAAACCAAAGTGATGTAGAGATACGACACGCTTGTAATACACGTAACTGAGGAGCAAACAAAAACAACCAAGTTGAATTAATTAAGTCGGAAAAAAAGAAAGTGTGCATTATAATTGAGAAAATGTGACTATTGTATTAATTTTTAAAATATTGGTATTAAATGTTTTATAAAATCATGATGACTCCTGTAAATCAAGTTATCCAATAAGAATAAAATACAATACCAATATAGCCCTATCGTTGAAAAAATTCGCTTATTTTTGCTCATCTCGAGTTTTGCTTAGTAGAAATGGCTAAAAAGTGTGCAAAATACGTACAGAAATATGGTATTACAGCACCACCTGTATTGGACAACCACCTGACCACTTTTTGAAGGAACCATGGGTAGTCACCATAGACAGGTTTTACTGGACTCATCGAATGGAAAAAGACGCCTGACATAGCAGCCTTTATACAAGCTATCAACAACAACCCCTACGGCCTTGTTATAAATATAGAGCAATCAAGCAGCATGGAAGCCCATTTCCTCAACATAGCCATCAAAGTGGAAGCCTCGACCATCCAAACGTCAGTCTACCGAAAACCTACTGCAACACCAATATACATACCTAGGGGATCGTGTGACCTGTTCTCATATAAAATATCTGCATTCAAAACCTTAGTAAAAAGAGCAATCTCCCACTCCTCTACAAAGCAAGCTCTGAACACAGAATTGGCTTATCTTAAAAAAGTTGCAGCAGAGCATGGTTACCCTTTATTAATACAATGTATAACCAGGCAACATTGTCAAAGGGGCACATCCACAGCACAGACAAAGGATACCAACAACCAGAATGAACAAACAAGGCTCCCTGTCACTTTCAACCCATATGTTAAAGAAATATATGGAGAAATATCCAAGAAACAACAAATACAAATAATCTATAGAAGAGGCCCCACCATAGCAGACATCCTAAAAAATGGGAAAGAACTCCCAGATCTCAACAGAATGTATGGCGTATATTCTATCCCTCTAGTGGATAACAGATGGCAAAAAGAACTCATCTATATTGGTTCTACTAAGCGCTCGTTAAAGACCAGATTAAGGAAACATCAAGCTGATTTACAACACAGAAGGCTCACTATGGCCCTAAGTATTTATGCAACAGATCAGGACATTGAGGCAGAACTCGACAAAGCTAAAATCATCGCAACCATGCTCCATGCTGAGCATATAAAATGGTTAGAAGCTATGGATATTTATAAAATGAGCCATAAAAATACATGCATCAATCAAAAAGAAGAATTCAACCTATCACCAGCCTGGCAATTCCTCCTAGACAAGTATCCGTAATAATTGACACCTGTGCACAACGGCACATGTCCGTTGGAGCGTAATTTGGTGAACTTTTCGATTTGAAATCTCCTGTTCTATTTTTCTCAAGTATTCCATTTCCACCTGAAGAAGAACTTCATAAAGTTTGAAAACGTTTGTGGGACAATCTTTTATAGGATACACTCTGGTAACAGGTTCGATTTTTGATTGTAAGTGTAAAACTAAAAAATAATAATAATTTGAAAATTTTAAATAAGCAATTTTCTTAAATATTGTAATTGCTGATATTATGAAATGTGATATGAATTTTTTATTTCTTTATAGCAATTGCAGTAGCATCTGGAGCAAATATATATGTATATAAAAATATGAGACCTTTTTATAAGTTTACGTTACCTACATTGGAAGTGAGCCAAGCTGAACTGGATGTATGGAATCAAGCTAAAGATGTAATTATCTCATATTTTTATCTATCATTTGTTGTGTGCTTATGAATTAATATTTTGTTTTCAATTAAATTGAGAGTATGGTATTAAATCAACGGTATTAAATTAAGAGTATGGCTTGTGTGTAATTCATACATTTCATTTGATGATATATTTAATATTTTTGATGAATATATTTAATAAAATAATTAATTATACAATGCAATTGAATAAATTTTGGTAATTATTTTTATCAGCATAAATGCATAGTAAATATTTAGAATAATTCTATAAAAATTTTTCTTAAATGTAAATATAAATTAAGTTGAATATACTGAAATAATAATATTTTTTAGGATAAACTTGATCTTACTAACTTGAAAGAAGTTCTAGAAAGTATCAGGTTTGTAATGTTATTTAATTATTTAACTTAAAAATAATTTTGGTATTTATTTATTTAACAAAAATTCTTAATAATAATGCTTACAATAAAAAACGTTGAGTCAAAACATTGGTATACAGTATTTAAATTTATATTGTTATATAGTAGAACCTTGATTATTAGACTGATGCTACCTTGGATAACCAGAAACTGAAATAAAATGGATAGCTACAGCCATTTTGGATTAAAAATTATGAATTTAAAAGATTTATATGATATCACTTTTAAGCCTCTTTTTATACCTTAATCATTTAATCATAACAACAATATGTAAGAAGAACAATTTTTTACCTTATTTATTATGCAGTTAATACATCCAATAGTTTTAAGAATAAAAATGTGTTATCATAGTTAGATTTTAAAAAGAATGATTTGTCTCACTTTCTACTTAAATGATAAAACAAATCAAAACAGAAACAAATCATTTTGGAATACATGTTAACATTTTAAACTTTCTTTTACAAATTGTAGTGTAAGAAATGTAGTGTATTCACTTATGGATTTTCCTTGGTTAATTGGGATCAAATAATCAGGGATATACTATCAATATTACAAGTTAAGCCTGTTCTAGAATGATATTAAGTATTTTGTATATTTTTTGAAGAGAGATTTATTTCTAGATAACAATTTTATGTGTTAAAGATGAAAATCGTTTGCTAGAGTTTGGTTTTTTAATATATTATTTTGTGCTTATCCAGTTATGTTGACGTTAATAGAGATGAAACAATTTTCAATTATACAAATTTTTGACATAAGAATTATGATTTTTGATAAATTACAAAGGTGATGTAAAAACAATAATCAAAATTTTTTAAAATCAGAAATAATTATTTATGCATTTGATTAATGCAAATGATATATGAATAATGATGTTTATTTGGATAAGACTAAAGTATTTACAACCCCAACATAGATACCTGTTCATTTCAACTGAGCATGCCTCCTATAAAGCACATCACATAAAGAATGACTTAGATATTTAGAACAATTAGAAATTTACAAAGTCACGAGAAAAAAATTTGGTTATCAACTTTAGAGATGTATACTTCTTTCCCCTGCATGGAAGTTGATCTTTGAAGTTTAATCTTACAACCCTCTCTTTCTTCTCCCTCTCTCTCTCTCTCTCACATCATCCCTCATCCCTCTTGTAACATGTGGATGGCAATCACCTATTTCTAGTAACTTTTTGGCTTGAACTGTTTGTTTTAACAGGTTCATTTGAACTGCAAAGGTCAACTAGCCTGACAATACCTGTTAAGTATGGTTGAAAACGTATGATTTTTTGTAATTTCTTCTTGCTGGATATTGGTTATAGGTGCAATGTGTATTTATAATTTTCACAGAAATATTTATGTCATCTATCAGACAGAAAAGACATATTTTAAAAAATAATCAGATAATCTAGATAATAATTATTTTAGTTATTTAAACAGTTAAAATTTTTAACTTTAAAAGGTAATTTTTTTAAAAATAGTTTTGATCTGAAGAAAGAAATCAATGCAAACACAAAAAATGTATATAGATTGATTTATTTCCCAGGAGTAGATTTTCACTTTGTTATACTAAACATTTTTGACCATCTTTTTCATTCACTATCAAGTTTTGATGATCATTTATAGGAGGAAACAGATGTTCCTACTTGATTTGTAAAATTTTATTTTGAATATTTTGTTTTCTTATAATGAATGTAATAATATCTTGATAACAAGGGCAAAAACAGTTGAAGATATATAATATTTTATAATTTGATATAAATAAATGTGTTTGGTGGTCAACAATATGAATGAACAAAATGATGTCTTATTTTTTAAATCAGATCATTAAGAAATCATTCTTATTCTTTTGTCATCAATTCACTATATTCAATCTTTTGTTTGTGTATATTGAATACACTTTTGTTTCTAAACAAATGTGATTGCAATTACACTATTAAATGGTTGTTGAATAATATATATGAAGAGAAATTTTAACATATTTGTCATATTTTATAAATATGAAAGAAATTGATTAGATAAATATGAATGGAATAGTTTAAAATCCAAACAAAAATGTTTAAATATTTATTGTTTTATTAAATATAAAATATAAATGATGAAAACAAAAAAATTTAAAATATTTTATATTGCAGAACAGAAATTGGAGAATCAAACTTAACTGCAAGATCACAAAGGTAAAATTTAATTTTAAAAATAAAATTGTATCACATAGTACAATAATAATTAGTTAATTAAGAATTTTACTAATTCTATTTAAATTTTCAGATTTTTAATGTTAGATCAGGATGAAATGGAAGAATTTGCTCATCTTCATAAGCAGTTTCCATTGAAAAGACAGGTAAATAATATATTTATAATTTTTTAATTTATATTTGTTGAATATAAATAAGTTTGATAAAATATGATTAATATCATAATATAATAGATTTAAATTACAGACAGTTGTGACTTGTCTAAATACTATGAAAAAATCAATGGCTGAAGAAAATGCTGTTAGTTGTTTAGTTCTGGGAACAGAAAATAAAAATATTTATATTCTTGAGCCTGATGCCTTCACCATATTAGCAGCAGTAAGTTTTTCATATTCAATTAATTTTTAATAAATTAGTGTAATTTATAAAATATTTTACAAAATATTTTTACTTTTATAAAACAATTTATTTAATAACAGATATTTATTGATACATATGCTTTTAATTATAGTATAGGTTTTTTCATTGATTTTCCAGACACAAAGATTCAACACCTTATTCATATAGAATTATGAGATGGTACTTAATATTTCCATGATAGCAGACTTATTCACTGTATGATCATAGATTGCATCATATATATAGTGCATTCATGTGTATTAGTTATATTGCGTATATCAATGAGCCCTGTATTATGTGTGATTTTTAATTCATTTTACTTAAATTTAATCCAACTATGACTTCTGAAAAATATGCAATTGTCAGTGGTGTCAAATATAGCAAGCTTGCATTTAATATATGCTTAAGTTTGAGCAGTCTGTAGTGCTTTATAGACATGGAAGGGTGGAAAAATTGTGCCACAAACACATATTCTAACATCCATACATAATACATATGGGGAAAAAAACCCCAAATCTTTTGTATATCTCGACATTTCAAGGTGTCCTGAGTCCAAAAATGTAAAAATTTGGGGGGGTCATTTTTTGACTGATTGCTACACTTTTCCTCTGTTATATATAAAACCTGTGAAAGTAAAAATTATCAAATACACATTTATATATTGACTATGACATTATTTAAGTATTTTATCTTTGGAATAAAAAAGTTTCTATGTTCTATCTTTATTAGAACTCTATTTATTGAAGTTTTTATTCTGAGATCACGTGATGACATCAGAATTCCCAGGCTTATTTTGTTAACAAGTCCGCCCCTGGTCGATATCAGATGGTAAATCAGAGTTGGTAGATTTTTAAATGACTTTACAGCCCTGTTTAGAATTATTCAATTATATTTAATTACTTCAACTAATAAATATTGTATCTTATATTTATTAAAGATTTCCCGAAAAACATAAATAATTAAATGATAATATTCATATTTTATATCTTCAAAAAATTATTAATTTAAATATATTTTAAAATTAAAATTTCAGATGACTGTTCCTAGTATTCCAGTATTTTTGAATGTGAGTGGTCTTTTTGATGTAGAATATCGTATTATAATTGCATGTCGAAATGGCTCTCTTTACACTCTTAAAAGGTATTTAGATTTTTTAAAGTACATGTCAGAAATATATATCATATTTCATTAACTATATCAATTTTTGTAGAGGTTATAAAACAGGAAGATTATGTGCAGAATTGAGTTCCCAAGCTATTGGCTTACAAAAAGTAAATAACAATATTGTTGTTGGGTGTATGAATGATTATATTTATTGTTATACAACAAAGGTAAGATTAAAATGTAACTGATATAAAGGTTAATACATGTAATGGCTAGGACAGTAATAAACATTAAAAATATTCACAAATTAGAAGAAACTAAAAAATTGTCTTCCTATCTAGTCTTTGTCAACACCTCAGGAACACAACAGTTTTTACAGGTGGAGTTGACTTTTTATTTGAGGCTATTCATCTGCTTGAAATGCAAAAATATTTTAAAAATTCTGTTTAACGTTTTTGCATATCAAGGCAGATAAGTAGCCTCAAATAAAGTCAACTCCACCTGTAAAAACTGTTTGTAACTAGAACTAGAAGGAAGATTAGAAGGAAGACAATTTTTTAGTTTCTTCTAATTTGTGAATATTTTTAATGATATAAAGGTTATTGTAATAATAAAACTTATTATGAAATAAAACTTAAACTTAACATTATTAGTAGTGAAAAGTTAACTTTTAGAAATATTAATAATAGAATGTAGCCAACATTTTCAAAGAAATTTTCTTCTTAAATACTGCTTAATTAATCTGTTGGTTTGATATAGTAAATTATAAAATTTTAGGAATTATTATGTAATATGATAATAATTATTATAAATCATGGAGGTAAAATAGGAATGAAATAACTAACTAAAAGAATAAATAAAATAATAATAATTATTATTATTTTATATTTTATTTTAATAT